GGGCGCTCGCTTTCCTTCTTTGCCTCTGGCCATGGCGCCGAGCGCGTAGGCAACCCGCCCGCACGCCTCCGTGGCGGTACAGCATAACCACGGGTGCGAAAGGGGTTTCCCCAGGCGGTGTCGCGCGCGTCGCCGAGACGAGACCGTGAGACTCTGCCGCCCGGTCCGAACTGTAGCTGGGGCGGAGGTGTAAGCCTGTAGCCGAACCACGGTGAGCGGAACTATAGCGGAGCTGTAGCGGAGTGGAGCTGTAGCGGAGTGAATCTGTAGCGGAGTGGAGCTGTAGCGGAGTGGAGCTGTAGCGGAGTACTTCCGGGGAGGGTGTCGCTTGGGCCGCGTAAATTCTCATCACGGCGCCGCTGCGCGCTGCTGCCGCGCTCCGCTGCCGCCGCGGCCCGACCCGCTGCACTAAAGTATTTAGCGACGCGCCCTCCCTCCCCTCCCCTGCCGTTTTACTGCCGCCCCCCGTCCAACTATCCGTCTCACTGGCGGCGTGACCCAGTATTCGCGCGCCAAAATCTTGAAAAGAAACCAAGTATAACTGTACACAGCGTACACCAAGTTTATATGATACATTTGGATTTACTGCGTCCCTATTGACGCTCTTGTTCGGCGCGTTCCCCCGGGCACTCTAGCTGACTGCAAAATCTCAAGTCTCATATTCGCCATTAATTGTTCACTGGATTTGAAAAAGCAATGCTAAAAAGAGATCCCGACCGTTTCGCTTCATTATTCGGGGCACGTTTGAAGCGCGTTTCTTTATTATTCCACTTTTGCACACATGCGCGCAGTGGGGGAGGGGGGGGGCGTAGTGCAATAATGATCGCATTAGGCGGAGCCCCCGCGGGGCCGGTAGGGGCCGGTAGGGGCGGCCAGAGAGGGGGTTAGGGGCGGAAATGAAGGGAGAGCCCTGCACTTCCATTGTGAGCCCCTCATAAACAGGCTGGAGGGGGAGGGGCAGGTTAGAAGGTCTCCGTACACCCCCCTCAGCCGCCCCTCCCCCGCCCCGGCTCGGAAGGGCAGGGGCGGCGACCAGAAGAGCGGCACGGCGAGCAAAGCCTGTAGCCCCGGCGCTCTGATTCTCCGGAGTCTGGACGCACTCTTATCGAATAAACGGCGGAGAGGGAAAATGGATAAATAACGGCACTTGGCTTCTCCATGAGCTCCGAGCACTCATCAAGTTTACCGAGGTCCGTCGAAGAGAGATTCTCACGGGAAAAAAAAGTCCGCAGTCAGATCGGCCGTCATGTCGCATCGGGATGAGCCCGGTCCCCAAACCCGCGCTGCTTTGATTCGCCTCCAAGAACCTGTATGGCAGGGTTTTGAGAGCGTGCGCGTCCCCCCTGATCCTGATCCTGGTCCCCACGACGTCGGCGGCGGCGGCGGGCAAAGTGCAAGCTGTCACCTCGCCTGCCCCGCACGCCCGGCCCCTCCTCAGGGCGTAAATAAAACAGCCGGTGCCCTAGGGGCGCAGCCGCGGCAAGGGGAGGAGGAGGGGGGAGGGGGAGTAAGACACACCACCGCACACCATGCGACAAGCGCTCCGGTCGATTTCGGAATCGATTACTAAACGCTTGACGGCTCCCGTGAGAGCCCTCGGCAGCGCGCGGCGACACACTCGAGCGTGTGTGTCTGTCCGTGTCCGTGCAGCGCGAG